TGGGTCTAACTTCCATCCTTCAACATTTAAGTGTATCAAAAAATCATTGAAATCGAAAAGATAGATATTAAAAAGGAATTAAAAGCGTAAAAGGCATGCACATTAAAAAAGAATAAAAAATGGTGTAAATCTTCGGTGTAAATTTGGGGAGTATATTTTTGGTTTTTAACTTATCCCGGTTAGTTCGGTTTGATTTTTTTCGATTCGATCCGATTTTTCGATTTTCAAATTTTTTAACCGGCCCACACGTTCTTAAGGTGTGTTTCTGTCACTTCCCCCTTCTTTATTTGGCCTATTCAGCTTCCCAAACGATAGGCCGTAGCTTGCAGCTGCTTTCTCCAATGACATATCAGTCCAGGTTCTCTCTTTCTCCTTCTCTTGATCCCTCCAAAAAAAACTAATATTTATGTATCTCAGTTTTTTGTCAATATTCCCGTTTTTGATTTTGAGGTAATCTCTCTTGCGATTTAACACCTTGTCATCGATCTTCTTTCATTAGTATTGGATAAATATTTTCTTCAAGTTCACCTTTTCTTTCTCTTTTTTTAATCATTCATGATACTCTATTTCTGATTTTCTGTAATCGGCCTCTACATACAACCCTTTTCTAGGGTTTTTATTTTTTTTTCCGTTTCTTTGTCTTGGTTAAATACGTTATCGTGGACTTTGTTATGGGGATTCTTCTGAATCCATTTTTCATATTCATCATCTAGAATGAAAAGGAGAAAATAAATTTAATGGTCTTTGGTTGAGTTACATTGAGAAAATTGTATAGTTGTCTTCAACACGTCTTTAAAAGAAGAGAAAAACGCATAAAGATTAGTTGGTGCAGTCTTGTTGATAAAGTTTTGTTTCATACTTGTTTAAATGTCTCTGCTTCCACCATTTTATGATTGGACATTTAGATGGCTCTACCCTGAAATAAGTCAGTGAAAAGTGAAAACTTTACTGTAAGTCTCTTCTCTAGTTTTTGTTTATGAAGCTTTAAACAAGTCTTACTGAGCCCTTTGAACTAAGATTGCGATATGTTCTATTCCAAAATGATCAGTGCAGTATACCCTTCTACATTTAATTATCCTTTATGGAGGAATACTGCCTTTTTGCTTGACAAATTGATATGTTGTAGACTATCTTGCCTTAGGAACTTGGGCAGATGAATGGTATTCTGCTAAGCCTGCTGGTGGCTTATTTCTACCAGTTAACAGATTATGTTCATGTTATCATTTATACAACTGTATCATCACAAATGAACTTCTTTCTGGGCAATGTGACATGTTTCAAATATGCAACTTTCATGCTATTTCTTGCTAGTCCTTCCTAATATCTATAGCAATTGGTTTAGCCACTCTCACTGATCTCTCATTCTGTGCAATGAGCACAGACAGGTCATGCACAAAGTTCCAGGATAGGTGGTAGAAAATAGTAATGCCTGATAATTCTGTTCTGTTCCCCGAGTTGGGAACAGTATACAGGAATTCCAGTGGGAATGTTAGCAAGTTAAGTCATAATGTGGCAAACATATCTCGAGGCTCAAGAGAAGATCCTAATTGCAAGTTTAACCCATGGGATTCTCACGGTGGAGTAACTTCAAATCCTCAGATTCCCCACAATTCAGCTTCTAATGCATGGGAACGTCCAAATTTGATCCAGAAGCTGGGAATTCAGAAGAATGGCTGCTCAGGATCTGATAACAGTAATATGTGGCCAACTCAAACTACTGTTGGAAATGCATGGCCTAAAAAGACTAATGAAGCGTGGAGAAATAATTTCAAGGCTTCTCAGCTGTCTGCATCTCCAACTTCAGACAAAGCTGATGAAATCATCTCAAATGCTCAATCCAGTGATTTTATTTGTGCTGTGAATGGTGTTGATGATGATAATGACGATGAAGAAGAAGATCTTTTATATGATAGTGATGATGATTTCTTTGACATTGACTCTGATTCAGATACAAGTCAAAAGAGCCATGAAAATCTTAAGAAATGTATGCCGTTCAAGGCCTTTTTTGAATGTTTGGAAAAACTAACTGTGGATGAGATTAATTCACCAGCAAGGCGATGGCACTGCCCTGCTTGCCAGGGGGGTCCCGGAGCCATTAACTGGTACCGAGCTCTCCAACCCCTGATTGCTCATGCCCAGACAAAGAAAAAACGAAGAGCACTACTCCATCGGGAGTTTGCTAAACTTTTAAATGAGGAGACTTGCAGAAGAGGGATTTCTGGTTTCCCAGTTGGTGAAGTATTTGATAGGTGGGAAGGCCTCTCTGAGACAGTAAAAGACCATGAAATAGTTTGGCCTCCGATGGTCATTGTAATGAACACCAGAAATGAGCAGCATGAAAATGGCAAGGTACTCAATGTTGCATTTTTTCTTTGGACTTGACTTATCCCATTTTGGTGTATCTTGATGCAATATCATGTAACTTACCAACTTTATTCATCTAATTTTTTTGCTTAAATAACAATTATCAGTGGAGTGGTATGGGAAATCAAGATCTTCTTGATTGCTTCTGCAACTATGCTGCATCGAAAGCTAGGCACTCTTATGGTCCACAAGGGCATCGGGGCATGAGTGTTTTGATTTTTGAGTACTCTGCAGCAGGTTATATGGAGGCTGTGCATCTGCATAAACATTTTAAAGAGCAAGGAAGAGATAGGGAAGCTTGGGATCGTTCTCAGGTTCTATTTTCTGGTGGGAAACGACAACTGTATGGTTTTATGGCTATGAAAGAAGACTTAGATATCTTTAACCAGCATGCTCGAGGTCTTCTCTTTCTCTCTTTCTTTCTCTATATATATATGTAGTGTCCAAACATTCTCTGTGTTTTGTTATACTCACATTATGAATAACGTAAATTTAAAAAGAATTGCCTTTTAGATCCTGCTCCACCGACCCAATGAAAAATGTTAATAGTTGAGCGGAATACATCTCTGGATGTTAAAATGATCTAACATTGGTGAGTTGTTATTATGAATTAATGGTGTTTTTAATTTGTTTCTTTCTCTTTTGGAGGATGTGTTGTCCTATAGTTCGTAAAATATTTTTCCTCCCTTCTAATATATTTCTTTGCTTATCAACATAAAGAAGACTTAAAAAAGCTGTTAGACCATTGTGGGATAAGGCTTCATTTGGCAAATGAAAATCTTTCCTTGTTTTTGTTCCCTGAATTCATATATTTTACAGATGAAAGCATTTTGTATGTTTATTTTACTAGTATAGACAAGAAACACTTTAAATACTAATGAGTACCTTCAAACTCATGCCAAAATTTTGTTATGATTTTTTATTATTATTTGTTGAAAACTGCACATTGTTTATATATAATATCTATTATTAATAAAAACTAAAAAAATTCTTTATGTGCCAACCTGAGCTTCAATTTTTTCAAGGCTATAAACATCCATGGAAAATTTTGATATAGTTAGATCTTATTTTAGTCCCAAAACCATTAAGTGGTATGAATGGATTAGAGTGGCCTCACCACTATAGAATAACGAAACTTAAAAGACAATAACTAAATGGCTAAGTTTTTGCTACGTTTGCCTACAATTGGTTCCTTTGTGAATAAAAGAGTAGCTCCTGGAATTAGGATGTCCCTGGTCTTAGAAACAGGAGTTAAATAATATGCTGGTACTCTGAATTGCAGGTTTTTGCAATTCAGATTAGAAATAAAGTAGTAAGCCTGGAATTATATGAACTTTATGTGGCATTTGATTAAATAGGAAAAAAAGGTGAGAGTTGGGGTTGGGGGATTTCACCAAATTAAACTTTATTCAATCTGTAGAAAAGTCAAATAAACAATTGTTCTTCCATTTATTGATATTTGTGTAGGGAGGTCCAAACTGCAATTTGAGATGAGGTCATACCAGCAGATGGTTGGGAGCCAAATTAACCAAATGAATGATAACAGTCAGCAACTTATCCAACTTAAGGACAAATTTGTCGAAGGACAAAAGCATTCCCAAGTCCTTGCAGAGTCTATTGATAGAGTGAGTGAGAAGTTACGTCAGACAATAGAAGAGAATAGGCTTATAAGACAGAGAATGAAGCTTCAGCGCGAGGAAACCAAGGATGAGGTAGTGTTTCCTAATTGCAAGTCATTTTTTGGTAACACATTATTTTTTTATTGTTACTAGTCATCCTGCGATAAAGATTCATCAGGTCGAGGGAGTCACTAATTGCTGATGCATTTCTATTTCCTTTATTTTTTTTGTTCTTTTTGCATGCTTGGCTTCTCATTGCTTACGCATTGTTGGTGGGTGATTTACACATAAGTGTATATTGCAATGCTTTCCAGATGGATGCTCAAGAACGATTTTTTAAGGATCAAATGAAGATTATTCAAGAAGTTATAAAGACAAAGGAAGATACTTTTAAGAAAATGCAACAAGCGGAGCGAGAAAAGGTTCAGCAATCTGATGCACATAATTCAAATGTAGGACACAGGTAGTATTCCCTTCCCTGATTCAGCTGCCATCCTAAGCTGGTATTTTAAGAATTTTTGAACATGTAGTAGGTTTGGAAATCAAATTAGGATGTTTGTTTCACAATGAGGCTTGAGATATTTAACCAAACAAGTGACCTAACCTCGATCAATTTTCACCACAATGACTTCTAGTTTGTCAAAGTATGAGTTTTACTGTCACTACGAAGCAAATTAAGCTCCATATCCTTGATCAGCACACCATATATGGCCTAACTCCAGTGCAGACTCAAGGGAACTGTTAGAATTATCATTAACCTTGGAGGATGTTGAATGTATTCTTAAACAAACAGAAGTTTGTGTGTGGTTTTGTTAGTTAGTCAGACATATACAAATACTTGTTAGATGGTAAGCGAATGCCATTGATGCTTTATCGTAGAATTCTAATATAATGTGGTTTTGGCACTTGTTTGTGTTTGTTGTGAACAGGGAAGAGGAAATTGCTAGCCTTCAAAAACTTAAAGAAAGAGAGTGGGAAGAATTTGAAACAGAGAGGGAGAAGATAATAAAAGATCATGAAGAAAAGAAGGCTGCAACCATGCGTAGATACTGGGATGAACAGCTTGAGCTTAAGAAAGAGTTGGAGAAAGAACTAACCCTGCTCATGGAAAAGTACAGCCCAACTGGTCTTAGAGAAAATAGTACTAACAATCTTTGATGGTCTTTGTCCAGAAAAAAAAGAAAAAAGTAGGAAAATTTTTTGCTGGTTTTGGGTAAAGAAGCAATCTCTAAGAGTGAGAGAAAATGACAGGAAATGTGCTCGGAATCATCTTCTTTTGGTTGGTGATGCTTCTGAAGCATGTGGAAGAAAGAGAAGTGAAGCAGAAGAAAACCTTCACTTCAAGTTGTAATCTTCCAAATTAATCATGGAATTTGAACATTTTTTTAAACTGTAAATTGCTTATACATGATTCATGCTATGTGCAATAAATAATATGGCAATGCAACAAGTTTAATAATATTTTTTACATGGTTTTACGCTTACGAGCGAGTGTGTATGACATCAGATTTTACATGCTCTCTTTAAGACTGAAAAATTAGAAAAAAAAAAAAAAGAAACTTCATATGCTCTCTTTAAAGTGTAAAAAAAAAAAAAAAAAAAAAAAGATTACTAGTCCTTAGTCTACTGTAATACAGTTCTCTTTCTGTTGTGGGAAATAATTGAAAAAACATGCGATTGCCGGGGAGTCAAAACCGGATCAATTGCTTGAAAGGCAATTATCCTAACCCTTGTAGCTGCAGGTGATTGCTTCATTTTATTGGATGATATTTCACAGCAAACACAATTACTGACATTCAAGTTTTTTCCAGCCCTTTCGGGCACACAAAAAAATAATAATAAATGAAAAGAAGTGAAAATGAGAAAATTTGAAATTTTAGGAAATTTTTTAATTTAATTTTTTTATTTACATTATTATTTTGTTTAATAAAATAATAAATATTATTAACTATTTTCTTAAAGCTATTTTTTATTTTATAAAATTAAACTAAATAGAATATTAGAAGAACACGTTTGTTTATTTTATTTAGTAAATTTTTAATAAGTAAATTTTTATTCATTTAAAAATTAAAACGCTTACAAGAAAATATAATTTTAGTTTACAACAGGCGAAGGAAAAGATAAAATACTGTACTGTGCGAATCAGCGTCAACATTAATACCGTCAAAGAGGCAATTTGGAACAGACGCTTTATCAATTAATGGCAAAATGGAAGAGGAAAAGGAGGAGCGGAGGAAACCAGTAGCTGTTTTCATGGCTTTTGGTACCAAAGGCGACGTTTATCCTATCGCTGTAAGTATGACCTCCGTCTCTCTTTTGTTTGGTTTCTCTGAAAACGTCAGAAAATAGAAATCCTGAAGAAATTTCCGACAAGAACGCTGTCTTAATACCAGATAATTAATTTAAAACGATGATTGATGTTTATACAATCGAAATGTTTGGTCGTCGCTTTTGTATTAGGATTTACAGTGTTGATGTTGCTCCTTGTTTGAAACCTTCCAAAATGAGTTAATGCATTAGAAATTTGGTTCTTCTATGTTTCTTGTAATGATTTGCTTTAAGCAGAAGAATGATGATTCCCGGAGTTTCAATATTTTAATTAGAATTAAAACTTTCAGTTACTAGTACTTTTAAGTTCTCAGAGGTTCCTGTATGCAGGTAAGTCATGTTATCTTAAAATCATGAATGTTCTTTTTGTTTCTTTTGGGATTATTTGAACTAGTGGTTGCTGTCTACATTTATATCTAGGAGATACAATGCTCATTGTCCTTTTCAAAAGAATGGCTTTGCCTTTCCTTTTGAGTTCATTTGCAGAACAATTTAGAGGGCTTCTGTCAGCAAGAAAAATAAAAGAGTAACTAAGACGGCAAGTAATGAACTTTTTTGTCATCCTTTCAGGCCATTACTGCTTCTTTTGCTCGTGATCAGAAACAGTATGATGTAATCCTGATAACTCATTCAGCACATGAGGTTTTCAATCTTTTTAGACTTTGCTTATTGTTTTTCACAGCACATGCTTAGGGTTAGCTTACTGATAATAACATTTTAGACCTTGCTCGCTATTAAATTGTACAGTGTGTGGTTGGTTTCATTGTGGAACCACAAAGACACCCGCTTGTCTGGTGAGAGTTACAAAACATAAGTAAACCAGGAATCAGTAAACTCCAGTCCAAGCATTTCCTTTACTTCTTTTTGGGTTAAGCAAACTGTGGTTGGGCAATGTTGACCTTCTATGTTACATTTATCTTATGAAAATTTATTATTTTTCTACGATAAAATGATTCAATAAACCCCACTATTGGTATCTTATAAAATTAAAGCCAATGTCATATATAGGTTAAAATTTTAAAATGATACTGTAGAAAACAAAAAAATGTTCAATAGTCAAACATTTTGGGCATAGTTTTAAGTGAAATGCAATGTTTCACTTTAGCTATAACCAGAACATATTATTGGTTGAAGGCACAAATATTCAATGTCTCCCATATGTTGAATAGTAAACATTTCCATTTAGTAGTGGTGGTTGTTATTGGCATTTAGTAGTAAAGATGGTATTTATATATCTACAAAAGAGTTAGTAACCGTGCGGTTTGGCTATTTGATAATAGACAGAGTCTAGTCCACATTGAACTGCTGGTCTTAGGTAATTTTAAAAGCCTTAATGAAACTGAGGATATATGAACTAACCAAGTTAACTCAAAATATAAAAGCAATTAGTTTGACCTGTTTGCTTTGTGGGTAAAAATGAAGCACTGCACATAAGACTTGCACAAACTTTTAACTTTTTGGTGGCTTTTGAATTGACTCAACCATATTTAGAGACCTTGCCATGTTTAATAAAGTTGCAAATTTGGTATGATTTACTGCAGACCTTAAGTTCTCACTTGGCGAAAGAAAAATGCTGCTTATTTTCCAATTTCATCACCACCAGTTCTTTCTCCTCCTGGAGATATTGATACAACAGGTTTGGCTGGCAGACTCTGATACCCGTTTTTTTTTATAGTTCCCTTATCATACA